TTACCTATTCAAAGCCGTTATCAAACAAAAAAAGGAGTAGGCTGAATGTTATACGCTTCAAGGTCAGATAGCCTGAGTGTTGGCCTTCAGCTCAGTTGGGGCAGTCTAGGCAGTTGCCTGTCTAAGATGCGGGCCCCAGCCTTCAGCTCTGTTTTTCCCTTGGAAAAAAAGGATGCATACCAACATTCTTCATAACAGGACTTATTTTCTATGCTGTTGTTGTTGTTGTTAAGTGCCGTTGAGTCGATTCCAACCCATCGCGACCCTGTATAGGGTTTCCAAGGAGTAGCTGGTGAGCCTGAACTGCCAACTTTGCAGTTCAAACGGCTTTATAGTCTGGCGCAGTAACCCACAGTGCCACACCAGGACTTCTTTCTACACTTTGCTACCTAAAAAATTTGATTCAAACACTCAGAACAAAAATTAGTTAAGCTTTTATTTAGCTGAATATTGTACTGGTGATTAGATAGCCCTGTGGTTCAGAATCTTACTTTCTCACTAGCACTCCTGAGAATCTTCAGTATACTTCCTGCTAATAGCATGACAAACTCATATGGTTTGGTTTTATAATCGCAGCTGTGCATGATGAAATTTGATTTTGCTGCTTTTGTTGTTGTTAATGCTATCAAGTCGGTTCCAGCTCATAACAATCCTGTGTAGGGTTTCCGAGGAGTGGTTGGTGGGTTTGAACTGCCAACTTTGTGGTTAGCTGTCAGGTGCTTATCCTACAGCACCACACCAAGACACGGAAATTTGTTGTAGAGTTTTATATTTGAATGTTTTGCATCAAGTGTCTTGTGAACTAATTAGACACATTGTTTTAGGAGTGATTAGAATTTGCACTCCTTTTATGTAGCAGGCTCCAATCCATGTTTTCCAATTTATCAGCATCAGCAATGGCAACGTTGTTGTTGCTAAGTGCTGTCAAGTTGATTCTGACTCATAGTGACCCTGTATAGGGTTTCCAAGGAGTGTCTTGTGCATTTGAACCACCGATCTTCTGGTTAACAGTCCAGTGCTTATCCTACAGTGCGACACCAGGACTCCTTGGCAACATAAGGTGTAGGTTATAATATATAAACAAACTTACTGGTTGCAGCTATCAAAAGGCAGGTGAAATCTTTAGTTTTTATTGCTGTATCTGATTATTCTGAGTACCATAGTGTTCTCTTAAAATAACTATTCCCCCAATTTGTCATTTTCTAGCCCTGGTGACATTAACATTTAATTGCAGGGTTGAAGCTGAGAAGAGAAGGTAAACTTCACAGAGACTCATCTGCTCTCAATGCCAATGTGCTAATCATATTACACTCCTTCTTCCTGAAAAACATTCAGTGATTCTTCACTGTCTACTGTCTAGTGAAGTCTAGACTTTTTAGAATGACATTTTAGAATTTTTCATGACCTTTCTCGCTTCTTTTTCTGCTTCATATATTCTGCCCTGCCACAAAACCTTGGCATTCATTACTGAACTCTCATGGTTCTGCCTTTGCACATAATACTTAATCTATTGAAAATTCCCTTTGCCCTTAGTCCCTACCTGGATAATAATTTCAACTATCCTTCCAAGTCCTAGTCACAGTGTTTCCTTTTCCATGAAAATCTGATTCCACTCAGCCAAAATTAATCTTTCAAACGCCATTGCTCTTTATGCTTCTCTTGAGACACTTACTGTACTCTCTTTTAGGATTGTTTGTATCTGGCAGAGTTTATCTCCCATAGAAGACTAACTGCTCCTTAAAAGCTGGGCTCTAATTCCTACAGCATCCTACCATGTTGTTGTTGTGTGCTGTGGAGTTGGTTCTGACTCATAGCGACCCTGTACAAGGTTTCCGAGGCTGTAAATCTTTACGGGAGCAGAACACCTCATCTTTCTCCCATGGAACAGCTGGTAGTTTCATCTGGTAATGTAGTGGTTATGAATTGGGCTGCTAATCTCACGGTCAGCAGTTGGAAACTACCAGCTGTGCCACCAGAGAAAGATGAGGCTTTCTGCTCCCATAAAGATTTACAGCCTTGGAAACCCTGTACAGGGTTGCTATGAATTGGAACCGACTTCATGGCACATAATATATAACCGACTTCACGGCACATATTGTTATAGGAGTGCAATATGTGAATTAAGTTTTAGTCAACATCTTGTTGTACTTTTCAACGCAGATAACTGTTTGAGTAGACTGTTATCTGTAAAGGCTGTAGAATAAACTTTGCTATGAAACAAACAACACACATTTTACCCCATGTTGATATAGTTAGAAAGTTTATGGTCTGAGAAAATCTATAACTTTTAAACCTCAGAGGCAGGTGTATTAACAAACTACAGAATTTTCAAATAAATGAAGAATTCCATTACCTCATTATTGCTGTTGATGAATTGGCCTCTGACAACACTTAATGCATCAAAACACACAGCGTCTGTTCAGGTGAGAGGCTTTCATGGGTAATTTGGTTAACTCTTTGAAAACTCTTAAGAAAAAGGACTGTTGAATTTCCCTTGTTCTGCCTTGTAATATGCCCTTTATCATATAAAGTAGTCAAATCTTTTTCCATGACTTGTTTCCTTGTTGTCCTGTGTTTTATTTCTTTAGGAACTCTTGGACTTACAATCTAGCCAATTTCTACAATATCTAAGGCAACTCTCATGCTTTTCTTCAGGTTATCTTTTGGTCTTTCATCTCTTCCTCTTGTCTCAAAATATGTTCAAAATTACGGACAGTATTCCATGTAGAGTCTGAATCTGTGCTGAGTAGAACAACATTCTCACTTTGCACAATGAAGATATGTTTCTGTTATTTTATCTAAAAGCACATTGACTTTTTGGAGTAACCTCATCATTGCCTCAACTCCTGTAGAGCATGTACTGTCCTGTCTTTTTTACACATAGATAGGCATGACTCATCTATCCTGTATTTCTATAATTGTTCTTTAGGCCCATGTTTGGTGGTGGTGTTAAGTGCCATCAAGTCAGTTCAGACTTGTAGTGATGTTGTATAGGGTTTTGGAGGAGTGGCTGGTGGATTTTACCACCTTGCAGTTAAAATTGACCTTATGGTCCAGTGCTTATCCTATAGCACCACACCCTAAATTTTTTCCTGTTCAAATTCATCTCACTAGATTCAGCCCATTAAAACAGCCTGTTGAAGTATTTTTGGGTCATCCAGCTAGTCACCTGCCCAGCTTCTTGTCATCTTCAATGAGACAAGTATGTATTTTCTTTTCTCCATCTAAGCCATTAACAGACATTGAGGCAGATGAGGGATTAATTGTGTATGAAGATTGAATTAACACTTTAGACTGGATAGTCCATATAACAGGAACTATCTTTCAGGTTAGTAGTCATATTGTAACTGCTTAATAACTATTTACTGAAAGATCATAGAAATAAGTATGATTATAAGAGATTAGGCATTCATCACATGTAAGGTCTTAAGCAGAGTCCTGGTGTGGCACTGTAGGATAAGCACTAGACTGCTAAACCTGTATATACAGTAGTTTTTCTGTGCCTTCAAAGGTGATTACATTCTAGTGTGCTAATAATTTGATATTATTGCTAAATGCTGTTGAGTCAGTTCTGACTCATAGCGACCTTGTATAGGGTTGGTTACTGACGAGTGTTTGGTGAGCTTGAATTACTGACCTTGTGGTCAGTAGTCCATTGTTTATTCTACAGCACCACATCAGGACTCATAATAGTTTCTATGATGTATTTTCTGGACCAGTGCTGTCCAACAGAAAAATGATACAAGTCACATATGTAATTTTAAATTTTCTAGTAGTTAGATTAAAAAAGTAAAAATGTAAAACCAGATGAGATTAATTTTAACCATGTTTTATTTAACCTAATATGTCCCAAATATTATTTCAGCACGTAGACCATATTTTAAAAATTAGTAAGACATGTTATATTCTTTTTCCTGCACTAAATCTTTGAAATCTGGTGTGTATTTTGTATTTAAGCCACATCTCAATTTGGACTAGCCACATTTAAGTGCTCAATAGCCACAGGTGGCTAGTGGCTGCCATGTTGGACAATACTGTTTTATACTCAGCTTTAGGTTATTTTATGCTGTTGACAAGTTTACATGGGAGAACATCGGTTTTACAATCATGCTCATCATATTTCATTTCATTGCAATGATTACAATCCCCTCCGTGCATCATCATTCAACAGTATTTGCTTTTATTCCCTTTGTTTTTGTTTTTTTAGATGTACACAAAAACACTCAGGACTATATATATGATCATTTAAACAACCAAAGGGCACATTCTGCAAGTCTGCCCCCTGGCCACCAGCACACAGCTTTTTTCTTTCCGTGAGTCTAGAGTCTTCAGTTGCTCTCTTTCTCCACGTCCTCATATCTGCCTCCATCGCTGGTGTCGCTGCTTATCTGGATAGGGTCCCACATTCCACTCATGCTCTTCTCCCTAGTTGGTAGGACCCCTGTTTTCATCAGTAAAATGAAAGATTTAGACTTGCATATCCACTATGGGTCGGAACCGACTCGACGGCACTTAACAACAGCAATCTTCTAAGAAGGAGCTCAGCTGGTGTTGTCAGTTAAACATTGGACTGCTAACTACAAGGTGGGCAGTTTTAATCCACCGCCACGTCATGGAAGAAAAATGAGGCTGTTTTCTTTCATAAAGATTTATAGGTTCAGAAACTGTGGCCAATGTGAGTGGGAATCAACTCAACGTCAGTGGGTTGGGTTTGGTTTTGGTTTATCTTCTTACAACTAAATGTGGTCTCTTCCAAGTATGATGGCACCTTCTGAGGTGTCTTGATCTGGGTGGTAAGTAGATGGGTATTTGTGAAAATTCATCAATCTGCACACTTAAGATTCATGTACTTTACAGTGTGTATATCATGCTTCACTAAAATTTTGCTTTTCAATTGAGATCCTTTCTGGTTTCTTTATTCTGTGGCATATGCTGAAGTCACTCTTAGATAAGCAGCCTTCACTGGAAATATTTATATCTTGTATATTCTTCCCATCTAGGATGTGTCTAGTCCGAATGAAACAGGAAGGCCGAAGCGGGAAATACATGTGTCGCATCATAGTTCATTTCATGTGGGAGGATGTTGAACAGCGTGGCAAAGTAATGGGGGTAAGTGAGTGCTGCTGTTAGATTCTGTTCCTGGAAAACTGGTGAGACTGCTTGACTTGACCTGGGGTTTATCCAATTTAGCATGTACTTACTTTCAGAGTTCTGCGAAAAGCTGCCTAGTGTCAAGTAGCAATTCAGCTCAATTCACTTCTTTTGCCTTTCTGGAAACTGACATGCTACACAGATCCTTTATGTGTTTGCACACATTATAGTGGATTGTTGGTGAGGGTACTCTATCTAGAGGTGGGATTTTAAAGCCGAAATCATGGGGACAAGAGGAATGTTGATTGAGGGGATGCAAATAATAATCTAGCTTAAGTGCACTGTTTTGACACCAATTCAATATTTGAACCAGTCTTCCTCTAAATGAGTTCTAATAGAAAGACCTTGGTATGGGACATTCACTATTCTCAGGAATTGAAAAGCACGCTCATACTCTTGTACATCCATAATTTACTTGAAAAGTATATGTTACATGGAACGTGAAGACAATAGAAGAATGAAACCAAACCATTAGAATTCAGTTGGTTATAGAAATGATCATTTATTTCATATTTTGTGTCAGTCCTGGTGTGGCGCTATGGGCTAATGCTCAGACTGCAAAGCCATTTGAACTGCAAGGTTGGTGGTTCAAGGCTCACCAGCTGCTCCTTGGAAACCCTATAAAGTGTCACTATGGGTCAGAATCGACTCGACAGCACTTAACAACAACAGACTAGGTTTAGCAGGTTGTAGTTTCTTGTTATTTCTCATTTCACTGCCTCCTAGCTTGTTGTTAGGTGCCATCTAGCATGGGAGCATACAAAATATAACTAATTGGTCATAACACTAAAGATTTCATTACACAGAGAAATCTTTCCTATAAATTGAGAAGAAAAGTTATATATGTACTGTAAATGCCTCACATGCTCACAGAAAAAATAAATAGTAAGACACATTTAAGGAAACAAACAAGTACTCTTTCCCTAATTTAATTCTCCAGGAGTAACCATTGCTAAGAGTTTTTGTGTATCCTCTAGTTATTTTCTGTACTAATATAAGATTAAAAATATTTATTCTAAAAGAATAAATGGGCTCATTACTTATATATGTTGGTCCACATCTTGGCTTTTTTCACTTAGTATATGAGGTGGTTTTATTTTTTACTTCACAGTTATTTTTTAAATTCAGATGTATTAACTAGGACTTAAGTCCCTTTAATCATCAGTCTGTAAGTGTCTCTTTCCAAGAAGCAGCCGTTGTTCCCAATTTGGTGTACAAGGGGGCTTCAGAAAGCTCATGAAAACATGGAATTTAAAGATAATGGAATTTTTCCATGAAGTTTAAGATTCTTTTCTATGTTATATATAGAAATATGTAGTTTTGTTTTTGTGTTTTAATATATATGATATTTTATGTACTGATAAAACAGCTTTCTGTTTTCACTCAATGATGTATCTTGGGTGTCTTCTCATGTTGCTTGGGAGTTTAATGGGAGATCTTCAGCCATGTTTTACTTTTATTCTCATGACTTTCACAAACTCATATGTATTGTCTATTGGTATTGTGTTCTTGGTTCTTTGTGTAAAATTACAGCCTTTGAGATTACATAATAGAGATGCTGGTTGCCTACTGGGAACCTGGGTTGAGGGTATTTTCAAAGTCTCATATCTTTTGGAAGTAAAAGTGGATTTATGTTTGCCTTTGGGTATTTTCGTTAACACTTATATAGGTTTCTCTAGAACCATTGACTTTTCTATTCATTCTGAGAAGATGAGACTATATATCAAGTTTGAGCTGTTATTACTATTTTCTGGTTTGAAGCCAATATTCAACTATTTTCATAGTTATCCTCATTGGTTCCTTATTCTTCTTATTGCTGTCATGCCTTCTTGCTATCCTAGCTACCCAGAATGTGATCAGCAGTCTTGCTATTACACCATAAGCTTTTCATCCAGCTGAGTGGCCCACTTCCCTCAAGTCTCAACTCTGTGGCAGCATGCAACGGACAAGGGGGTAGTGTTGGCACTCTCAGATCATCCCATTTAACAGTGACCAGTGGTGTAAAAACCTGAAAGTAAGCCTGGTTTTCTTAGTACTTTTGACTAATCTCTGCTGAGTATATCCCATCTGGATTTAGACCATTTTAAGAATATATCTGACACATCAAACAGATGACTCAAGGACATCATACATGAAGAAAGCAAAAGGTTATTCAAAAGACAGCAAAAAAGAAAAGACCAAAATTAATGTCAGAAAAGACTCTGAAACTTGCCCTTGAGTGCAGAGTAGCTAAAGTAACTGGAAGAAATGATAAAATAAAGGAGCGGGACAAAGGATTTCAAAGATCAGCTTGAGAAGAAAAAGTATTATAATGAAATGTATAAAGACCTGGGTTAGAAAATCAAAAGGAAAGAATATACCCGACATTTCTCAACCTGATAGTTATCACATTGAACCTTCTTGTATATTATTTCATATGTAATTGTCTTCTACTTGACTGTAAACTCTATAAATAAACAGGAACTATGTCTTTTTCAGTTCTAAGAATAAATAATTATATGTTGATTGATGAATAATTTGGACAGTAGCCTCTGGAAATCTATTTTCAAGTCATCTTGTTTATCAGATTATACCTGTTTTATCATTCTCCAGCAGGAGCTTATCAGTATAGTCCTATAGGAAAAAATCTTTTCTTTTTTTCACCCATTTTATGTAGCCAGTTTTTCTATCTGAATTGTGCCAGGTATGGTGCTGTCCTATAGGCAGGTGTCTTAGATTAATGTTTCTCAAAGTGTTCCATCACTTTGGGATGAGGCTCGATCATCTACATCTTTAAGAAGCTTATAAGAGATCCTGTTGCCACTTGTATTGGGATGTTGAAAGACAGAACCACATTTTGAATAGCAAGATTTTAGGTGACCCATATGCTCCCCTAAGACAGACACTTAAATTTGCCTTCATGAAGAGAAATTCCAAGCTCTGTTTAGTTACAAAGACTTTAAATAAAAGATGATTTTAAAAGAATAGAGATTCAAATGAATTGAGAATCACTATTATTGCTTTCTATTATAATTGATTTGATTTCATCTTTCTAGCCTCATGGTGTAAACTAGACAATTGTTGTATATTAATCACTTCTAAATTGTGGCTAGAAAAGATTTCAGTCTTCTGTATATGAACAACCAAAAGAAATGGGACAGTTAGAAAGAAGCATGTAGCTAGAGAGAAATAGTGGGCAGTGATGAGCCTGTCTGGCCTGGTTCTCACTCTGGCAGATCTTTTCTTTCCAGTGTTTCAGTTTCTCATTTAGAAAAGCATGGTTTATGATTTGATTTCCAAGTCTCTTTTCAGCTCTGTGAACCTATGACTTAAAGGTGATAATTTGCAAATCTCTTGCTGTGTTCCTTGGTATCCCAGCTGTGCCTCTTTAAGAACATTTATGCAAAAAGTAGAGCTTATAAAGCTGATGGATGTGGTGCTTTTTCCCATGCCAATTCTTAGAGGCCATTACTTTCCTTGAGCGAATTGGTTTGGGGAAGATCAAGAACTGAGAGAACCACATGTGAGTAGAGGGTTAATTAAATTTGAATCAAGAATTCCTTTAAAATTAGAATTCCAGCCTCATTTGGTGGGAAAAGTCTCATTTAAAAGAAAATTACTTTTTTTTTTTTTAACCAGTTCTAGTATGGCACTGTAGGGTAAGCACTGGATTGCAAGGTCAGTTTGAACTTCAGTGTCAGTGGTTCAAACTCACCAGCCTCACCTTGGAAACCCTATACAAGGTTGCTAAGAGTCAGAACCGACTAGACTGCACTTAACAACAACCAGTTTTTAAGGATCCCAACTCTTGTGAAAAAATTGGGCAGACCAGAATATCATTAGTGAAGCTGGTACAAAAATCAAGTGTTAAATTTAAGGTTACAAAAATCACATCAATAATTTTAGAGTGTTCTGACTTAAAAACAACAACAACAAAACAACACACACACACCCAAAACACATTGAGATTTAAACATATAAATTAACCATGGAAATAAAGTTCATTATATCACCTCATCTGGTCTTGTTTTATTTCATTAACTGGTTCTTAAAAACCTTTGTGAGCTGAGTCGCAGCTGAAGAGGTTGGAGACCATTTTTCCTTGGGCCCTTGCCGCACTCCTGACTGTTGGTAAGAGAAGAGAACTAAGACTTAACACAGCTGTAAAAACAGACAGCGCCTTTGGCCTCAGAACTTTCTCCTGGTGCAGGCAAATTTCAGATGTAAATTTCACTCTTTGCCTCTCCTACTAATGAAGTAAGTTTCTCTTGCTGGATTTGCAGCCAGGTGTGTCCAGTCTTGTGGCTAAAGGGCTCTTTACTTAATTTTTCCATTTGTGACATTTCAACCAAACTTAAAAAACAAACATAAAAAATTAGCTCAAGGCAGTGGCTCAAAGTGTTAATGGTAACTTTAGGTTGACTAAACGACTTCCTCTCAGTTCTGCCCTGCCAGACATCTCCACCTTGTGGTTTACAATGAACAGGTTTAAGCAATGAAAACTAGGAGGAAAAGGATGGGGGTGGGACAATTTATTCCTTATCAGTGTCCCCTGACATGCTGGTTACCTCAGTAGTAAGTACTTCAGATTTCTTTCTAGCAGCGTTCTAGAATAAGCATTCTCCCTCTCATGGTCTCCTGCTCTCTGCTCTAGCAGAGCTGCTTCTAGGACACAGGGCCTAGAAGAGATGGAGTAGCTGTGGGCTAACTTGGACTCCCTTGTGAAATCCTGCTTTACTTTTCAAAACAGCATTTGTTTTGCAAGTTCCTCTGTGCTCACACTCCATACTTGCCTTTACAGATGCATTTCCCCTTACCTCTTTTCAAAACAAGTATGTGAAATCTTTAATGGCACATGGTAAGCATTCAATCAGCATATCAGTCTATTCTTGTTTTCATATACCCCTCATTTCAGCCAAGTGGAAAACCTTGATTTTCCAGCCTTTCAGCATGCTGTATGTACACCTAGATTGCCTTAA